ACGTATGTCGCATCTATTGATGAATTCTTTAATATTTCGTTCGATGTGTTTCGAATCGTGATTTTCTTTTAGTCTAGCCAGCGTTCGGTTCTCGTCAAAATGTTGCGTACTATGTCCCAAGTAAGTAATTTCGCTAAGAAGTATTTGACGCTGTGAATTATGTAAAAACTTTACTGATTTGTTAAACTTTGTGCTTAGGAATCGTATCATTAATGTAAGTTCATAATGCTAACTTCATAATGTCATATAGAAATTTGCTTTTGTTATGTTTCTCTAATATGTCTTTAGTTAGTTGAATACATAGAAATAAATTCAGTATGTTCGTAAAAGATATTGGTGTTGGATGTGTCTTCCAAATGTTGTATTCCTATACTAAGTCATGTGTACCGTTTACAGTTTCCGTTTTCGGAGCGTATGTATCGATCAGACATGTGCCCGTGATTATGAAAATGGCCGAAGTCATATATTTTTCATTTGGAGATATTTAAAGATTTGCGTTTGAATGAATTGAAAAATATTTTTATAGTATGAAACAAAATATTCCACGAAATTTTTGGTCACGTAATATCAGAATTTATTATGACTGTGAAATTTTGTGTGCAGCTTATAAGAAAATATGATTTTTAAAGTTTGAAATGACTTAGACTATTTTCAAAATTAATTGAATGTCTTAAAACTGACTTACAACAATAAAAAGGAAGAAGCATTATTATAAAAAAAATTTAATTCAAATCCATTAATTCACATTTTATAATTATCTTTCTAAGTAATTAATTTTTATCAATTCTAACTTTCTTCTCATCTTTCGGGATTGGGATTTTGATTCTTGAATAATTTAAAATATTTCTAGTAAATTGGTAGAATATAAGGTAGTAAATCTTAATATCTTTGTATTTTTCTTTTTGCTCTAATAGTGGTGTATAATGAAACTAGGTGCATATTTTCGTATATTTTTGGTATTTTTCTTTTTGATGAAGAGTCTAAAGCGGAATTAAGCATCATCTAAAAAAGTTTTATAGAGCATTTAATATAAAATATTTAAAAATCTCATCTACTGTATTTTCAGCCAAAAAAATTTTGTACCAAAAATGAATTCTTTTTGCTACATGGTTCTTTTAATTCATGACCATGTACGAGTATGAATTGTACATCGATATGAAAAAAGAAAGACCTTAGATGAAAAATAAGAAAACAATAAAATGTTAAGTATTTAAAGAAAATGTAAAATTAAAAGTAGGAGTGCGGATTATATTGTACAATATTAAAGAAAGTAAATGTCTCTTAAATACAATAATCTATTTAATCTAAGAATGTAAATATCTTTTAAATAAAATAGTCTGTTAAATATCACCTAAATATCTCTTTCAGTTTTTATGATTAGGTAGTATTTCTTTAACATAATTGTAAAGAAGAAAGCATTTCATATTCGTACTAATAGGAGTGTTTAGATGATAAAATTTTTGGATAATAAAACAATTATTGTTTTCGTATACAGTTAAATGTATTCAATTAAAATGAAGATTTAAAAAATTGAAAATCATTATAGACATCGTCTCATTATCAGTTATGGTTTCAGTTCCTCTTTAATTTCGACTTTGTATCAATATTACAGTTATTATATTTCGATTCTGTATTGCGATTATGGTTATGAATTATTGTAGTATCGTAGTTATTATAATATGAAGTTATATTTTTAGTTATTTTTAGTTGTAACAGATGGCCTGTTTGCTGATCATGGAGATGTGTGAGTGAGAAAGAACGAATGTGATGTGAGAAGCACAGCGTTGGCAGGGTGCGCTTTTTTTTTTAAAGAGGAGAGTGAAAAACGGAGTCAGGCATAATCGTGAGAAAGCATTGAAAGAAAGTGGTTTAAAAGAGTCGATTGTGTCGTATGAAAATAATTAACTGATTCGTTTAATGGTTTTATTTAAATCATTAGTTTGTGTTATTTGTCTTGTGTTAATTATTTGTTGTTTTGTTACCGTTCTTTGTTATTTAATAAATATCATTTTTCAAAAAACAAAATCTAGTTCTTATGGATTCTTTTTTTTAACTCTTTAATTGATTTTGTGAATTTCTGATTTTGTGAAATAACAATATTAAGTACAAATTTCTAAGGTAATATTAGAATTTGTCTGAATTATCTAATATATAATATAAGTGTCAGAAAACCGTAATTGATACAAGTAGGTCAAAAACAATATGTTTGTAATAATCATTATCAATAGTTACTAGTAATAACTTATTATTACATTATTATTATAAGTTATTAGCTAGTTATATTATTATTATTATTTAATTATATTGTTTTTATCATTAGTAATAACATTTCTTCAGTTCTATCGATATCGAACCGAAATTCATATCATAATATTTCTAAAACACAACCGATTGCAATTCTTAATACGATCCAAGATCAAGGTGTTATAAACTGGAGATGATTCGACCACAACGCGTTAAATATCGACGAAAGTTTTTAATCCTTCGGTTATCATTTCTTGAAGAGAACTGCCAAGAACTGCCAACGAAGCTATTTTAAACGAAAGTGGTACCTCCTTCATATGTTTCACGTCGTTTAAAAATTTCTCAAACTCTTCGATCAATTCTTGGATCTTTTTCCTCTTCTTTCTGTCGGTTTCAACTTTGAATTCTACTTTTAGCGTTCTGATGATAACCTCCATCTCTTCAGTTATCTTGTACGCGTCTTTCTTGATGTAATCGTCATCTTTCAAAGCGTAATTAACGCCGTAGAAATCAGTAGTGACGTTCTTCGTTGTCTTGTTGGCAATCTCGGCAGTTTCGATCACTCCTTCTGGAACCGGGATATGTGGATTGCTCTCAGTTGATTTATCCAGTGCATCAATATTAACCCTTTGCGGTCGAATGTCGCCGCAAAAGCGGCAAAAATAAGTTCGATATAGCGAAAAATATAGTTGAAAAAATCGACCTCGACCGCAAAGAGATAATATGGGGGCTAAATTTTCTTCCTCTTTCAAAATGTATGGTAGCACCTGTACAGATTTGTGAATTTAACATTTGTTTCTTTCTGATAAAATTAAAAATTCTTCGTATTTCACCTATTTTTATAGTGTTGTTCAAATTTTTATTTATTTTGACAATGTTAACAATTTGTAGATTAGAAGGAATTTAAGAGTAAATACAAAATAAAGAATGAAACGAGAAGTTATTTCGTTTGACAATCAAACAATAAAACCATTCAAAGGAAAATCATTTTCATGTTCAGGTGCACATATGTAGTTCCTTCAAATAACATCGAAAATAATAGAACTAAAATAAGTTATTGTTCAATTTACCATTTTTGAAATATGCAAATTGGAAGCAAGACAAATTCCATTTGAAATGAAGATAAAAGTAATAATTTACATTCATTATTTTTATTTGAAAACTTTCGGGAAATTTATCTTTGATCATTATTTCATTGAAATAAAATAACAAATAATTTCAGTAGAAGATGAAATTTGTAAAATAGTGTCCGAAATTACTTGAGCACTGATTTGTAAAACAAAGAATTACTTTATTACCAAATAATTTAAAAAAATATTGTTTGCTTCTTCAAATATATCAACGTTGGGTTATCTTAAAATAAGGTCAAGTTATATTTTTCACATATTAGTTCTCAAGTAATGCTCTAAGCCTGATTTGAAGCGTATGATATCTTTTAAAAACTGATCTTACCAACAGATGGTGTCCCGCGTCTTGGTGTAAATGAAGATATATCTTGAATTGCGACAGCTCTCTCTCGACTTAAATGCTCGTTGGGAATCAGTCGAAATCTAGTTTGCATCGCGTTACCTACGCATTGCATCCACCATTTTCCCAGTAGATTTCACCTCCGATTTTTCCTCTGTATCAGGCGCCGACATTTTGATA